GAGCATGAGACAAAACCAACCCACAACTATAAACATTTCCTCTCACCAAACATGCAAATAATTTGATCTTAACAAATTCAAATCCTAGTATGTTTTACTCATAGTTTCCTGTATCTGGATTTAAAAAAAAAAATATGGATGTTACCTGGTTAAAATATGTGAAAGTTATAATACATTTGTATAGTACAGAAAATACATATTGAAAGGTTTCGGGTAAAACCAGTTTGGTTAATTCTTATAATTTAAATGTATTAAAGGATATAATAACAAATCCTTTTGTAAAGAAAATGAACACCCATTATTATCTTTATGGGTTATTATTTTTTAATATAGTGGGGCCATTTTGTAAGCACTTAACATTTACTATATGTGGATTTATTTGAAACTTTCTTGACCATTTGTAATCTGTTCATAATTTCAGTCCCATTACCAAACAAGAAGAAATTGAATTTTATTTAAAATACTAGTGGGCCAGTGCACAAAATTCGTGCACAAGTGGGTAGTGTCCCTCAACCCAACCTACACCCTCTCCAACCTGGGACTTCTTGGGGGATGTCTGCTTGTTTAGGCCCAATCTGACAGGATCGAAATCTGGGACCACTAGCTCCTAACTGCTCACTTGCCTGCCTGCTTGATTTCTCCTAACCACTCTGCCTGCTGGCCTTCTTGACCCCAATAGACCCCCCCCGCCCTTGCCAGCCTAATTGCTCCAACTTACCCCCCTATGGCCTGCTCACTTTCAACTATTCGCCCTAACCCGGCCTGATCACCCCTAACTGCCCCCCTGGCCAGATTGCTTGCCTCCAACTTCCCCCCAGTGCCATCCTGTTTGCCCCTTATTGCCCCCCACTGCTGTCCTGCTCGCCCCCTACCACCCACCCTGCCAGGCTGCCCCTCCCCCACTGCAGGCCTGCTCGCCCCCACCTGCCCTCCCCTCCTGGCCTGATCACCCCTAACTGCCTCTGCCTCAGCCCCACTACCATGGCTTTGTCTGAAAGGATGTCTGGAAGGTCTCCCAGTCTAATTAGCATTTTACCCTTTTATTAGTATAGATATTGCATAATTTATTGCCTTCAATTTCTACAACTTGAGATCAAGGAAAATCACCAGGTTGACTCAGGGGTTGAAAATTATTTATAGAGAGGAAATATATCTTTAAAATATATTTGTAAGTAAAAGTTGAACATATTAAATACTAAAAATAATTATATAATAAAAAATGAAAAAAAATCCAAAATTTAATAGATGCATATTTTAACGTTCATTTCTACTCATTTCTTCTATTAGAAGCCCATTCTGCATCAAAATTGGAAAGTTGACTCCTTCCTCAATTTTAGTGGCGGAATTTGTTGAACCTGTATACCAAAAATGAACAATGAAAACTGAGGGGGATGGTTTTCAAATGGTTTCTAGGAAATTTATGCCTGAATGTGGTTGTGTCTCAGTATGAGGATGGATTCCTGTAACCATCTTGCCATCTGCCTAAGGACAAAGCTCAGATATGGAGGGGGAAGAGCCAAGAGACACCAAGAGAAATGGCATTGAAGTTCTGATATTTAATGCCTTAAGATAAAAGTCTGAATATTTTGTTAGGCAAAATGTCCTTTTCTAGTGCAAGTTTGGGAATTTCCATTGCTTGAAGCCAAATATATCCTGAATATATTTAATTTGGTCTACCTTTTAAAATTTAGTTTTAAAATACTCTCTTTTCTTTTTCTTATTGTTTTTTATCTACTTTTTAAAAATTACATTAGAAATCATATTTTCCAAATATAACACAAGTAATCTAATTCTAAATTCTTAACAATTTTACTTCAACAATTCAATTCAGAAGTCTTTAAAATAAAATATAAATTGAAAACTTGATCTATATCAGTGATTTTTCTCAACCATCCTTCTACATTTCTGAGTAACAGAAAAGAAATATCAGTTTATATGAGAGTTGGTCTTTAAAACATGCAATATGTGAAACTTTATTTTAAAGGGTAGGGGTGGGCTAGAAGGGGACAATGGGGGAAGAGGAGGACATTTGTAACACTTTAAACAATAGAAATTTAAATAAAAACAGGCATTGACTAAAAATGACTCAATTATGTAGATTCCTTTAAATGAACTGTATGTTAATAACCATTGACTTTATAATAAGGAAATGCAAATTATTTTCAGAAAGAAAAGTGGTCTTTGAAAAAGTATACACCTTAAAATTCAATAAATAGAAATAACTTTCAGACATGTCTTTACCACTGAAATATTAGACTTTATTTGATCTTTTCAACATGGACTTACAAAAATATTAACAACACAAAAATACCAATTCTAAGCCACTTTAAATAAAGTTTACTTTTAGCAACGATAAATTTCCATTGAAAAATAAAATGTTACAAGGCACATTTATTGAATTGGCTGTACATGCAAACAGGCATCTACACAACAAACTTGGCAACCTGTGCAGAAGGGAGGCAAGAGTAGAAGCAGTAGCTCAAGGCATCTCTATGTAAATTAGCTTTTACTAGAATGCTTATCAGAAAAGTGAGACTCTTCTTATTTAATCAAGGCACTAACACACACAAGATTACATTTTCTTGAAAGAATAAACTTCTATCAACTAAGATAACTTGATATTATCACACATAATTTAGAATGAGCAAAATTTAAATCTATCAAGAAATTCCACAGGATTACATATTTTTTGTAAGTTGGCTTAATTATTTCCTATGGTAAATAATTAAAAATAAGCAAGTTCTACTACGTGGAAGATTACTGTGCCATGAAATTATGGATATAATTCATCTAGACATCTTATATTACATCCTATTAACTCCTTGTGCACATAAGAGAGAAACACAGTCCCCTGATATTATTTTGGTAATCCATACACAAGCCTCATGAAATATTGTTCAAATATTTGAACATTTTGATAGACTGGGCTATCTAGAAAGAGATGTCAAGGCTTGACACACCAACTACACTTCCCATTCTGTTACCTGGTACCCTTTCTTAAAAACTCTGTTTTTGAGGTAAATACTTCTCAACACAGTGATTCAGAGATACAATGAATAAGAGCTGGCATATGAGTTTCACATAGATTCTTACAATAGATCAGTATTTACTGAAACACATTTGTAGATATTGAAAAGCAAGACATTTTTAAAAGATTTACTGTAGTTTGTAGATAAGATACTCTATATATTTATTTTATAATACTAATATAGGAAACAGAAGATTAGACTATATGATTACAGGAAATAACTAAGCAGATTAAAAAATAGAACAGCAGCAAGAACCATAAAACTATTTCCTAGACACCTTTGGTATGAGAAGTCAGAATTTTAAAAGTAATTATTTATGTGTAAATAAATAACTCTTGCCTCTATTTTCAAAATGGATTTCAAACAACAAGTAGTAATAATCAATATAATAAAGCCCTTTTACACTTGATCTTAGCCCAAGGGCCAAGAAGTGACTAAAGCCCTTGTTTGAAGTCCTCACTCAAGGTTATGTATTTCTTAATTGATTTTGAGAGAGAGAAAGCGATATGAGAGAAACATTGATCAGTTGCCTTCCTTACACTCCCAGGATGGGGATTGAACCAGAAACCTAGAGGTATGTGCCTCAATGGGAACAGAACCTGAAACCTTTCTTTTGGTAGATGGGATGATGCTCCAACCAACTGAGCCATTGCCAGGAATTTTTTTTTTTAATAGCCCTTTAAAAAGGATTGAAAGGAGCTAAGTGATATAGATGAAAGGTGGGAGAGAAGGAAAGGTTTGGCAATTGAACTAAAATTAAAAATATATATATATGCTAGGCAACAGGCTGAGATATACTTTCAATTTATCAGAAAATCAATTAGTGAGTTTCTGATCAATCAAGGTTAGAAGTGAACCTGAATGGGTTACATTGCTCTCATGGTCTTATAAAGGGAGACAAGAGTTCATATGAATAAAGCAACTTTAACTTTTCTCAACCCTGAGACAATGTCACTACACGAAACCATAGAAAACAGACACTAAAGCATAGTTAAGCATAATTTATATGTTCTCTCTCTATATATATGACTTTTATAATATAGTGTATCTGATAATCATTGAAGGCATAATATTAAGCTACATAGGTATGAAGAGATTTAAGACTAGGCCAGATTTTTGTCACCTTCATTGATACAGCTTTATAAATTAAGGAATGTTGGAGTTAAAGTTTTACTATTCAAGTCACAATTTTGATAGCTAGCAAGCAACTGAATTAGTCAACCAATGGAAAGAATAGCAATATATACTATAAAGTAGTTTTGTAAGCAACACTAAAATCTTCCATCACTAATTTCAGCCATCAGAAAAGAAGACATGCCAGGATATACATTTAAAAGATGTTCAGCTCTTACTAGTACTTTAAACATTAATTCAAAATTAAATTAGATATTGAATTTGTACTAGTAATTTTTAAAATTTTGGTTTTAAAAAAATACCAAAAAACAACCATCAAATAAAACAAACAAACAAACAAACAAAAAACAAACAAACCCACAAACACCTTAGATGAGAAATCAGAAAATTTCTCTTTGTAAATTACTTTGCCATCCTTAGGTAAAATAACTATTTTGAGCATATTTCTTAAGATAAATTAAAGCTAATGATTTTATTAAAATAAGAAAAAATATGCAATATACTCAATTACATCACTTCAGTTGGTTCAAAATGTAAAATAAAAATTACCTAATTATATCCATTGCTCTGGATACATCAAAATCAGAGAAAAAAAATACAATAATGTCATGAAAAGGTATACCTTCTCTGTAAAATGAAGCAACCTTCAAAGATTCACTTATTTTTCTGCAAAACAAAACAAAACAAAACTTTGTAGACAGAACCTTTCGCCACATAATTTACTAAGCTAAGCTGCCATCACCTGGGAATTAAACTGGACCGAGGACAATTCATAGATCACCATCATCCATCCCCCACCTGCTGCATTCACGGGCAGGTGGAAGGAATCTTTCCCGCCTAGGCCCTCTGGGCCAGGGCGATGTTAATTGCCTGGGAGCCCAACATGCGGCCATTCATCTCAGCCATTGCCCTAGCAGCCTCCTCTGGAGAGGAGAAGCAGATCAAGCCAAAACCTCTGCTTCGTCCTTGTTCCTGCATTATCTTAGCTCTGATAATTGAGCCAAAAGGAGAAAATGCTCTCCGTAGCTTTTCTTCATCAATGGAATCATCGAGGTTCTTAACATAGATCTTCAACCCCCTGAACCGCCAAAATGTTTCGTGTCTCCGCTGCTCAAACAATTGCTTTAACTCAGCTTGTCGCTCTGCTTTCTTTTGTGCCCGGCCTACAAATACCGGCTGGCCGAATAATTCCCTCCCGTTCACTATGTCAACGGCCCTTTTGGCAGCCTCATGGGTATCGAAACTCACAAAGCCAAAGCCTTTGGATTTCCCACTGGAATCTGTCATCACCTTAACACTCACGATTTTGCCATAATGGCTGAAAAACTCCCTCAGTTTCTCATCGTCCACGTCATCTCCAAAGTTCTTGATGTAGATATTGGTGAACTCATTGGCTTTATTTTGGAGCTCAGCTTCCCGATCTCTGCGGTTTTTAAATGGGCCGACGAAGATCCTAAAGTCCTTCAGCAGCTTCCCATTCATCTCGTCAATGGCCCTGTCTGCAGCAGCCTGGCTCTGATAGTGCACGAAGGCATAGCCCATGGAGCCCTGGTCATCGTACATCACCTTAGAGGACAGGATCTTCCCAAACACTGAGAAATGCTCATACAGCGTTTTGTTGTCAATGGATTTGTCCAGATTCTTGATGAACACGTTCCCGATTCCAGATTTCCTCAGGTAGGCGTCACGTTGGGACCACATGAGCCTGATGGGCTTGCCTTGCATCACGTCGAAGTTCATGGTGTCCAGGGCCTTCTGGGCATCACCCACATTCAGGAAGTTCACGTAGGCGTAGCCCAGGGAGCAGCGGGTGGCCAGGTCCCTGCAGATGCGGATGGACAGCACGGTTCCCACGGTGCTGAACTTCATGAACAGCATGTTCTCGGTGACATCTGGGGCGAGGTCACCCACGTAGAGGGAGGCCTGGCGGTACTTGGCGTCCACATCCATGTCGCTGGACCCTGATGGGGAGCGCTGGCCCCTAGGAGCCCTCCCAGAGATGCCTGCAGGAGGGGTGGCTGGGCTACAGCTGGGCCGGGCTCACGCAGCAGCGCGGTGCCACTCCGAGCTGCAGAGATGGGGCTCAGGGGCAGCTTTCCCGATGGGGCTAAGGCAGCAGGCTCATGCAAAGGCCCCCCTCCCCAGGCAACCCACCAGGCCCGCTCGGCGGCGGAAAGCTGCGACAGAACTTTCAGGTCTCAGAGAAGGCTGGCAGGGGAGACGTTGCTTCCCGGGCCAATGTGCGCACAAGCTTCAGGTGGCGGCGGGTGGCCCGCAGTCCCCGCGTCCTGCACGGCCGCCCCGGAGGCTGTGGTTTCCCGGTGGCAGCAGGCCTCGCTGGGCTCGGGCTGGCGCAGAGGGGCAGCCGCGGGGCCGGGAGCTCCACAAGTGGCCTAGGAGGCCGCGGTCCGGACGCGCGGCGCGGGGCCAGGCCAGAGCCCGAGCCGCCGGGGGACCAGGTCTGCAGGCGCCGCGGCCGCTGCGGCAGGGAATCCGCAGACCCCGCGCGGCGCCCCCCCTGGCGAGGCCGGATGGGGAGAGGGGAGGCGGGCAGCACGCCTGGCGCAGGGACCGACGCGGCCCTGCGGGCAGCGGGACGGGGTCGGGGGGCTCACCCGTGTGCGGCCGGCGGGGCGGGCGGGAAACCCGGAACTCGCGCGCTGAACTTCCCGCGCACTCGCTGCCAAAGGGGGTGTTTTCTTCTTCTTCTTCTATTTTATATAAATATATATATATTTTGCGAGTGTTTTTCTTCTTGCCCGCCCTCTCACGCGTTTCCCACCCCGGTCAGACAGGCTGAGAAAGCAGGAGGCGGCGACAGGGGTGGAGAGAGGCAGCCAGAGGAGGGGCCCTCATCACCCACCCCCGCAGGGCTGGCTGCTGCGCAGGGTCTGACTGCAGAGCTTTTCCAAACGTGGAGCAGGGCCTGCCACTTACAAGCTGAACACCCTCCAGTGGCTTCCTCCCTTTGCCGGCTAAATTCCTACATGTGCACCTTGTTCTACAAAATTCTGCAGGGTTGCTGTCATGTTCCAGCCTCAACTGCTGCTGGGTTTCCCTTACTGAAATCCATGGCACACTCACCTTTTTTTTTTTTTTTTTTTTTTTTTTTCTTTCCATAGCCAACGCAGCAAAAATGTGTTCCTCTGAAATCATTTGGATCCTTTTTCCAAATATCAATTTTCCCTAAAGAACTTCTGAAAGTGTAGGCTTCCCTCTTAGAAGCATATACCACCCAAGCGTTTGTCTAATTATAATCTAGTTTGGTGTACCTTCTGTGACAGTAGGGACCGTGCTCATTTTATGTCCAGACGTAACCAGGGACTTTCAGCAACCGGATGCTCAACATTGAGGGAATGAATGGACTGTGTGAAATAGATGAGGAATTTAATCTGAGGCTGGTTTTCATGCCCAGAGGCATGGAGATAGTGTGCCTCATCTCAGAGAGTACTATAGGGCTTAAATGAGTTAATAGATTTGGAAATGTTTAACACAGTATATGGGACATATTAACATTGGTTTCACTTCCTTTAGCATTAAATAACATCCTTAACATCATTCACACACACACAAAAAAAAAACCCTTAAATTTTTAATGATAATGCATCTTTAAAAAATGTTACCTGCAAAACTGAATTGGGCAGATTGCTTTATATAAGAATAATTTAGTGCTTTTCAATTTTCATGCAACATAGGAATTATCTGGGAATCTTGTTTGAAAACAGATTCTGATTCAGTATATTGGAAATTCTATATTTCTATTTTTAATATATATATATATATATATATATATAGAGAGAGAGAGAGAGAGAGAGAGAGAGAGAGAGAGGAAGGGGAAAGGATAGAGATCTAGAAACACTGATGAGAAACATCCATCAGCTGCCTCTTGCACATCCCCTACTGAGGATATGCTTGCAACCAAGGTACATGCCCTTGACCAGAATCAAACCTGGGACCCCCCCCAGTGCACAGGCTGATGCTCTATCTACTGAGCCAAACCGTTAGGGCAGGGAATTCTACATTTCTAAAAAGCTCCTGAGAACGAATTCTCTTGTTCTCTGAACTAACCTGAGTATCAAGACCTCAAAGCCAAATGAGTGAGCCCCTCACAGTGGCATCTTTTCTAATGTAAGGCTAGGAAAAAAAACACACAAAACAAACAAACAAACAAACACACACACAAATATTTCTCTCTGAGAAGCTAAGGATACTCTTAGTAATATATCAAACAAAACTCCACTAAGCATGCATAATTTTCACTATAAAATCAAATTGCTTTCAACCTAAAATGGAATAATGGGTCTATGATTCTTCCCAAATTAATCATGATTGTTTCGTATTTGTGAAATTTATTCTGATATCTGTTGCTTTGTAGGATCATTTGTTCAAATAAGTAAATTGAGTAATCTTTTCTTGAACCATATCTTCTGGGCTACAATTTTTAAAACGAAGAAGGACCACTGACATGGTGCATATTAGCAACATTCCAACACATACTTTAAAAATATGGCGTTATTTAAAGTACATAAAAGTAATCACCATAGTCAATATTACATATGATTTAAAAACAAAATAAAGTTCCTAAGTGTATATTTCCTGGGAACTTTACCTCGACTTGATTTCTAAGAAAATGTCTAAGAGCACAGTAGTTCTCTGTACAATACTTCAGCCATAGCCAGTTACAAACATATTTAAAGAACTCTTGGGCTTTTCATTTTACCTTAGTGTGATCTTCACTCAATATTTTGTGAAAAATGAGTTTCCAAATTCAGAATTTAGTCCTACATTCTGTCTTTAACCAATCTATGTGCAGCAGGTATAAACCTGGATTTGTTAAAGCGCCACCACTCATGCTATGTTCCACTTTACTCAGTATACTATCTTTGTTTTTATACTTTAACAATGTGTTTTTAAACATCCATGATTCTTCCCTCTCTTTAAATCTCCAAATCTCATCTTCTTGTCATTTGTATTCATTCAGCAACTTCTTAACGAGGATGTCTTTTCCATTTGCGTTTACCCCCATTCTCATGCTACTGCTTTGGCCTCATTTCCTTGTGTATTACTTCGTGAGTTTTATTTATTCATCTCCTTATCTACATGCCAGACCCCCTTGCATTTTGCTACCTGAATAATTTTACTAACGTTTCTTTCAGAGTATTTGATTAAAAATAACAAATGACTTTCAATTTTTGCAAAATCAATCATATCCTAACAACATATATCTTCTGTCAAATTAATCTGTCATTTGTTCTAAGTGTACATGCAATTATTTCTTTTTAAAAATATAATTTCCCTGATTATTAAATTCTATCATCCTTCAGCCCCATTTTCTCCAATATTTATTTTCTCTCTCAGTAATTCTGACATACTAACTTTTCCTTTTCTGAAACTATTTAACATACTCATATGTACAGGTGTTCCCTAACTTTTCAAAAGTTCACTTTATGCCACTTTGCTCTTAATGTAAAGATCTACATTAATATCCGTTTTCATTAGTCCAAAGAAATCCCAAGAGCATATCTGATTTTATGGAATAAAAGGCAAAAAAAGTGGAAATAGCCATTAGCTTTATTTGCAGTGAGATGTTACTAGGGCAGCACAACACTCTTTCCCTAGGAACTACACTCAGCATCTCAGCATCACAGCTCTCGACTGTGTGTGTGAGCATCTGTGCTCTCTCTCTATTTATTTTGTGCATCATTCACTAGCAAGATCTGTCCTGAAATAATTGCTCTTCACTTTATGCAATTTTGGCTTTTGCCAATGGGGAAGCTGGTAGCTAATTTTGTGTGAGTTCAAGGCTTTGATAATCCTTAACTTAAATTGTTGTAGCTATGTATATTGCTGACTTGCATGTCTTCTTAATTCTTAAAGTATTCAAAAATATTTCAATTGCCAATATTTTGCTTCACTTTAAAATATTATAATTCTGTCCACCTCATTTTTTTTAGTTCAATTGCCTTTCAATTTAAAAGTTTCTTACATGGGTGGCTCACAGATTTAAGAGGGAATAAGATGCTGCTTTGCTTAAAGGACTGGAAAACTCTATTCACTCATATTGATGTCAATGAAAGTCATTGATTATCTTGACATTTATTGAGTAAATAGTTACTTTGAGTATGGAAATGCTTTTGAAAATAGAAATCTATTGTACTAATTAGACCAAAGTGGTTTCGGAAGTCTACTTAAATCATTGCTGTGATGTAATCAACTATCTGTGAAATCATGCTAGGCAATAAGACTACAGTGGTTACTAAGACACAAGTGGTGGTAGGAAACATTTAGAGATCTGACTGTCCTCAGATGAGTGCCCAAAGAACTTCATTTTATCTCTTTGCCCTCCCTACCTGGCTTGTACACTTCTCTGTCCTTGCTCCAGAATGTGGACTCATCTTACTGTTCGCTCCATATTATCAAAGCTAGGAAAACTATTCACCCTGATTTCTCAGATTCTTCAGAGTTAGTTCCTACAAAGCAATCAGACTCTCTCTATCCAGTGAGATGTTGAGTGTTGAGTATATGTAGATGTTCATTGAATTATTTTATTACTTTTAAAAATATATATATATTATTGATTTTTTTACAGAGAGGAAGGGAGAGGAATAGTGAGAGAGAGTCATCGATCAGCTGCCTCCTGCACGTCCCCCACTGGGGATGTGCCTGCAACCAAGGTACATGCCCTTGACCGGAATTGAACGTGGGACCCTTCAGTCTGCAGGCCGACTCTCTATCCACTGAGCCAAACCGGTTTCAGCTTTATTACTTTTATATATGTTTCAATTTCCCCCAATAAAAATGGAGAGCAAACTATAGTTGGCTCTCTCTATTCACATGTTCCAAATTTTCAGATTCACCAACCACTTACTGATCAAAGAGATCTTTCATTTTAGTATTTACTGATCTATACTGCATCCCTTAGCATTAGTTAGCCAAATACCTACTAAGAA